CCCGCCCGCACGCCCGGACACAGGGCCCTCTGAGAGAGAGAGAGAGAAAGTGAGAGAGAGAGAGAGAGAGAGAGAGAGAGAGAGAGAGAGAGAGAGAGAGAGAGGCGGATTTGGCACCCCGCATCTCTCCCTGATCAACCACTGTGATTCAGGCCAGCGAGGGCTGCCTTCAGGCTGCAGCTCCAGGTCCGTCATCCCCACCCCAGGCCCTAGAGCACAGTGCTGGGCAGAGGCACCCAGTGGTTCGGGAATGCAGCGCAGCGAGGGGCCTGCACAAGGTGGGGGGTGCTGTGTTTACACCACCAAGTTCCCCACTTCTGCCCTGGCCCACATCCCGCCTCCTTCCCCTCAGAGGCCCAGCTCCTGCCTACATGCTTGCTGGGCAGGCCCAACTGCACCAGAGAGTGAGCTATGGCAATCAGGATGGCCACTTCCTGGGATAGGATGGCCAGACCACAGGGATTCATGAGGGCGATGAGGCCCATGGAGCATACACAGCCCTCCGGCAGTGGGGGTGGCCAGCCAAGCCGAGTCTGGCTACAGTGGGGTCAGTGGGAGCCCGAGGCCACTCCAATCCCCACAGGTCCTGGGCAGAGGGTGGCTCAGTGGAGAGTGGTATCTCCATGCATGGTGCGCAGGGGTGGCTGTGAGCTGCTGCAACCCCACCCCACGCTTCAGGGAGGGGGAGAAAGCTCGCAGCCACCAGCACCCTAGGCTGCACTGCCAGGCCTGTGCCTCAGCCTGCCAGGTTGGCAGGGTCCAGAGAAGGTGAGCTGTTCCCTTCCCCCAGTGGTAGAACAGGGAAGAGAGCGGTGGGTGCAGGGAGGGGACCTCAGCTGGGATCCTCCTGGTGTGGACCTGGGCAAGGGTCGATGCAGAAGTACCAGGGCACAGTTGCTTCGGTATCTCGGTGAAGTTTGCAACTGACCCAAGGAGGAAACCTGAGAGGGGAAAGCCGGGAGGCATGAATTGCCAGCACTGTAGCCACTTGAAAACAGCTCCACTTGGAATGTCAGGTGGTTTTATGTTCAGCTGAGAAGTAACGGGCCTGAACTCCACCGTTGCTGGGGTCCTGTTAGTCCAAGGCCCAAGCGTCCACCACGACAAGGAGAGAACAGAGCGTGGGGCCCGGAGGAAGGGAGGATAATTGAAGAAAACCATGTCTAGACTTTCCCCAGCCCTCTCCTTTCTGCTGCCTACAAGAGCCCCAGGCCCAGCCACAGTTCTGTGTCCACCTTATAGTCCCCTATTCTCCAATCACAGAGGAAAGAAATAAGGAAGGAGTCTGTGATGCCTTCAGAAAGTATCTATATGCCTAATGGGCCAGTTACCTTTCACAGGGAGGCCAGACTGCAGCTTAGGCCTGCTCCTCACAGGGACATCAGTAGGACACCCTGTGAGGGCTCCCGGACCGTTAGAGGGGGCAGGCTGGGCTGAGGGATGCCCCTCGATTGCACAAATTTTTGTGCACCGGGCCACTAGTCTACACTAAGAAAAGAGAAACATGGTAATTGGCGTACGACCGCTACCCTTCCCATTGGCTAATCCCCCTGTCACTCACAGAGTAGGGCTGAGATATGCAAATTAACTGGCAGCCAAGATGGCGGCCGGCAGCCAGGCAGCTGAGGCGAACAGGGAGGCTTGCTTGCTTCAGTGACGGAGGACTCCAACGTTCCCCGCCTGACTTGCCAGCCTCTCAGCTGCAACTCTAAGCACCTATGCTGCGAATATAGAAGCTAAAAAAACCCAGAAACCTGCTTTACTCAGCGGGGCTTCAGCCAGCTGGACCACAACATTGTATCAAATACAGACGGTAAACAAAGGCCAGAAACCTGTTTTCAGCAGCTGAGGCCTCAGACCTAAAGCTGGCCCAGAATAAAAAAAGAAAAAAAGGAGCAGTTGGGAGCTTCAGTCCCAGCCTGAAAACAGCCCTCAGCCCCTCACCCATGCTGGCCAGGCACCCCAGTGGGGACCCCCACCCTGAAGGGTGTGTGACCAGCTGCAAACAGCCATCATCCCCTCACCCATGCTGGCCAGGCACCCCAGTGGGGACCCCCACCCTGATCCGTGACACCCTTCAGGGCAAACTAGCCAGCCCCACCCATGCACCAGGCCTCTACCCTATATAGTAAAAGGGTAATATGCCTCCCAGCACCAGGATCAGCGGAGCCGCGAAGCCTCCCGGCACCGGGGTCAGCGTGACAGGGGGAAGCGCCCAAATCCCTTGATCGCCCTGTGGCTCTGTGTGTGACAGGGGGCGAGGCCCCAACCCCCCCGCTCCCCACGGGCCCTGCTCTGTGTGTGACGGGGTAGAGCCATAACCTCCCCATTGGCCCTGCCCTGAGTATGAGAGTGGCGGCGCCCCAACCACCTGATCGGCCCTGCTCTGTGGGTATTAGAGGGTGGCGCCCCAACCGCCCCCCCCCCCCCCCGGCCCTGCTCTGTGTGTGATGGGGTAGAGCCATAACCTCCCCATTGGCCCTGCCATGAGTGTGACAGTGGCGGCGCCCCAACCACCTGATCGGCCCTGCTCTGTGGGTGATAGAGAGCGGCGCACCAACCCCCTGAACAGCCCTGCTCTGTGGGTGATAGAGGGCAGCGCCCCAACCCCCTGATCCGCCCTGCCCTGAGTGTGACGGGGGGGGGGGGGTGCCCCAACTCCCCTATCGGCCCTACTCTGTGAGTGACAGGGGGGAGCTCCTCAACCTCCTGATCGGCCCTGCTCTGTGCATGACAAGGGGGAGCTCCCCAACCCCCTGATTGACCCTGCTCTGTGCATGACAGGGTATGGAGCCCCAACCTCCCTGATGGGCCCTGCTCTGTGCGTGACAGGGGGTGGCACCGCAACCTCCCAATTGACCCTGCCTTGAGTGTGACAGGGGGCGGTGCCCCAACCCCCCAATCGGCCCTACCCTGAGCGTGACTGAGGGTGGCATCGCAACCTTCCAATCTGCCCTGCTCTGTGCATGACAGGGGAAGGCGCCCCAACTCCCCAATTGGCCCTGCTCTGAGCCCGACCAAGGGCTGCACCTAGGGATTGGGCCTGCCCTCTGCCACCCGGGAGCTGGCCTAAGTCAGCAGGCTGTTATCTCCCGAGGGGTCCCAGACTGCGAGAGGGCACAGGCCGGTCTGAGGGACCCCCCCTTCCCCCGAGTGCACAAATTTTTGTGCACTGGGCCTCTAGTATATATATAAAAGCCTAAGTGACTGAACAACCAGTCGACCTGTCATTATGATGCACACTGATCACCAGGGGGCAGATGCTCAATGCAGGAGCTGCCCCCTGGTGGTCAGTGTGCTCCCACAGTGGGAGAGGAGCTCAGCTGACCAACCAATACCAGCAGCCAACCAGTTGGGCAGCAGACACTCATTCCCTCAGTAGTTCTGCAGGTACAATCTCCAGAGGACGACCCAGGGATCGACGGACCTGTGCAACTGGCATGATCCCGACAGAGCCGCCAGGCTCCTGGAAGTCGGCCTTGGGCACTGCAACTGCTTCCCCTCCCTAGACGCTCCGAAAGGAAGAAATGATATAAAAGGGGCAGCCAGGTGTCTCCCGACAAAAGGCGCCAACATTAGCGGGATGGATCTGGATCCCAGGGTGGCAAGGCATCCCACCGCCTTCCCGGAAAGCCAATTATGTCCTGGAACCCTCAATCCTCCTGAAGACAGGCAGCAGACGCGGGGCTCACGGCTGGGAACAGCCGCTGTGGCAGCAGGAGCCTCTCCTAATTGTGACTGACTGCGATGAATGGAAGTGGTAGGCAAGAGTGGCAGGCAGGAGCAACAGGCAGCATTGGACTGGAGGTTTCCAGCCAATCCCCGCAGATCAACCCGAGGAACGCCACCTGTGCACGAATTCGTGCACAGGGCCTCTAAATTATTATTAGTCTATTTCCTTTTTTTAAGTCTTTATTGTTCAGATTATTACAGCTGATCCTTTTTTCTCCCCATAGCTCCCCTTCACTCAGTTCCCACCCCAACCCATGCCCTTACCACCCCTCCATTGTCCTCATCCACAGGTGTACGAATTTTGTCCAGTCTATTCCTGCACCGCCCATACCCTCTTCCCCCCGAGAATTGTCAGTCCACTCCCTTTTTATGACCCTGATTCTATTATATTCACCAGTTTATTCTGTTCATCAAAATTTTTATTCAATTGATTTTTTTAGATTCACTTGTTGATAGATATGTATTTGTTTTTCATAATTTTTATATTTACCTTTTTCTTCTTCCTCTTTTGAAAGAATACCCTTCAGCATTTCATATAATACTGGTTTGGCAGTGATGAACTACTTTAGCTTGTTCTTATCTGAGCTCTTTATTTGACCTTCAATTCTAAATCATAGCTTTGCTGGGTAGAGTAATCTCGGTTGTAGCTTCTTGCTATTCATCACTTTGAATGCTTCTTGCCACTCCCTTCTGGCCTGCATCATTTCTCCCATCCAAGTACTAACCAGGGCCGACCCTGCTTAGCTTCCGAGATCAGACGAGATCGGGCGCGTTCAGGGTGGAATGGCCGTAGACCTGCATCATTTCTATTGAGAAATCAGCTGACAGTCGTATGGGTACTCCCTTGTAGATAACTGTTTTTCTCCTGCTGCTTTTAAGATTCTCTCTTTGTCTTTTGCTCTTAGCATTTTAATTATGATGTGTCTTGGTGTGGTCCTCTTTGGATTCCTTTTGTTTGGGGTTCTCTGCGCTTCCTGGACTTGTAAGTCTATTTCTTTCACAAGATAGGAGAAATTTTGTTATTATTTCTTCATATAGGTTTTCAATATGTTGCTCTCTCTCTTCTTCTGGCAACCCTATAATTCGGATGTTGGTACGCGTGAAGCTGTCCCAGGGGCTCCTTACACTATCTTCATATTTTTTGATTCTTTTTTCATTTTGCTTTTCTGGTTGGGTGTTTTTTGCTTCTTCGTATTTCAAATCTTTGACTTGATTCTTGGATCCTCTAGTCTGCTGTTGGATCTATGTATGTTATTCTTTTTTTTTTTTTAAATACGTAACGCTTCATGAATTTACATGTCATCCTTCCGCAGGGGCCATGCTAATTTCTGTATCGTTCCAATTTTAGTATAAGTGCTGCCAAAGCGAGCACATTCTGTATATTATTCTTTATTTCATTAGTGTATGCTTAATTTCTGATTGGTCCTTTTTCATAAGCTTGAGGATCTCACTATATTTCTCAGAGGTTTCTAGAAGATTTTTTTAAATTAAATCTTTATTGTTCAGATTATTACATTTGTTCCTCTTTTTTCCCCCATACCTCCCCTCCACCCAGTTCCCACTGCACCCTCCACCCTCACTCCCCACCCATTGTCCTTCCATAGGTGCACGATTTTTGTCCAGTCTCTTCCTGCATCCCCCTCACCCCTTTCCCCCTCAAGAATAGTCAGTCCACTCCCTTTCTATGCCCCTGATTCTATTGTAATCACCAGTTCATTCCGTTCATCAGATTATTCACTTGATTTTTAGATTTACTTCTTGATAGATGTGTATTTGTTGTTCATAATTTGTATCATTACCTTTTTCTTCATCTTCCTCTTCTTAAAGAATGCCTTTCAGCATTCCATATAATACTGGTTTGGTGGTGATGAACTCCTTTAGCTTTTCCTTATCTGTAAGGCTCTTTATCTGACCTTCAATTCTGAATGATAGCTATGCTGGATAAAGTAATCTTGGTTGTAGGTTCTTGCTACTCATTACTTTTAATATTTCTTGCCACTCCCTTCTGGCCTGCAAAGTTTCTGTTGAGAAATCAGCTGACAGTCGTATGGGTACTCCCTTGTAGGTAATTGACTTTATTTCTCTTGCTGCTTTTAAGATTCTCTCTTTGTCTTTTGCTCTTGGTATTTTAATTATGTGACTTAGTGTGGTCCTTGTTGGATTCCTTTGTTTGGGGTTCTCTGTGCTTCCAGGGCTTTTAAGTCTATTACTTTCACCAGGTAGGGGAAGTTTTCTGTCATTATTTCTTCAAATAGGTTTTCAATATCTTGCTCTCTCTCATCTTCTGGCACCCCTATAATTCTGATGTTGGTACGCTTGAAGCTGTCCCAGAGGCTCCTTACACTATCTTCATATTTTTGGATTCTTTTTTCATTTAGCTTTTCTGGTTGGGTGTTTTTTGCTTCTTCGCATTTCAAATCGTTGACTTGATTCTTGCGATCATCTAGTCTGCTCTTGGGAGTCTATGTAATATCCTCCATTTCAGTCAGTGAATGCTTAATTTCTAGTTGGTCCTTTATCATATTATCGAGGATCTCACTAGATTTGTTGAGGCTCTTACTACATTTATCAGTGGTCTCACCAGACTTTTTGAGGGTTTTACTAAGTTTATCGGCGGCTTCTAGAAAGTTCTTGGAAAACCTTAAAAGTTTGGTTTTGAACTCTATATCCAGTCATTGGCTTTCCTCCATTTCTGTCATTTGTGACCTGTTTCTTTGTCTCCGCATTTTTTGTGCTTCCCTGTGTTGAGGGAGTGGCTTTCTATGCTAGGTGTCTTATAGGGCCCAGTGGCTCAGCCTCCCCAATTACCTGAGGTGGACACTCTTGGTGCACCCCCTTGTGGGCTGTGTGCACAGTCTTGTTGTAGTTAAGCCTTGATTGTTGTAGGTATCACTGGGAGGAATTGACCAATTGGCTGTGAGAATCAGCTGTGTCTGCAGTGGGAGAACTTCTGTGCTGGAGACACCCCTCCGGGGCAAGACGTGCTTCAATGGGGCTTTGGTGCTCAATGAGTCTGCCCCCTGAGTGTGTCCCTTATGTGTCCGAGGGGTTGTAATCTGGATGGTCCCTCTGTGACCATCGGGTATACTGGCTCCTGGATCTCTAGGGAGGTGTTAATCTAGCCTTTGCCTGAGGCTACTCAGCAGGAGGTTCGCTGTGAAGGAATGCAAGTTGACCTGGGGCCTTGGGCCAGCTTCAAATTTGTTAGGTAATTTTCAGATTGTAAAAGCCTCCGTGCACAGCTTGGGCAGGGCGGGGTCCCAGGGGATCAATAGGGCGGAGCAAACAGCAATGGCTGATTGTCAGTCCTTCCCTAAGAGGCCCCGAGTCTCAGTGTCCGGGTAATCGCTGCAAACACCTCTGAGAGAAAGCTGCCCTCGAGATGCGAACGATGCCAGACAGTCTAGCCCAGGGGTGGGCAAACTTTTTGACTCGATGGCCACAATGGGTTCTTAAACTGGACTGGAAGGCCGGAACAAAAGCATGGATGGAGTGTTTGTGTGAACTAATATAAATTCAAAGTAAACATAATTACATAAAAGGGTACGGTATTTTGTTTGTTTGTTTTATTCATTTCAAACAGGGCGGATACGGCCCGCGGGCCGTAGTTTGCCCACCGCTGGTCTAGCCTCTCCCCCTATCAGTCAGGGTCCCCAGAGACTCGCCCAGAACTGGAGTTCAGAGCAGTCAGGAGTTTGAGACCCCCTTCTGATCAAAAAGCCAACCCTGTCCTCAGGCGCCAGCCTTTTCCGAGTCCGCCTCCGTACCTGTGCACTTAACTTCCACACCACATCTCCTCTGACTCCCGGTATGCTTTTCTCTTTCCTTCTAGTTGTAGAATTTCAACTCAGCCAGCCTTCCTGTGGGTCTAGATGAGGCCGGTTTTGTCTTTTAGTTGTATTCCATTTTTTTATTGCTTAAAGTATTACAAAGAGTATTACATATGTCTCCTTTTTTTTCCCCCCCGCCCTTGACAATCCTCTGGCCTCCCCGACCCCCCAGTGTCTTATGTCCATTGGTTATGCTTATATGTATGCATACAAGTCCTTCGGTTGATCTCTTGCCCACCACCCTCCTGCCCTCACATCCTCCCCGGCCTTCCTGCTGTAGTTTGACAGTCTGTTGGAGGCAGCTCTGCCTCTGTATCTATATTTGTTCATAAGTTTATAATGGTCTTTATTATCCAAATATGAGTGAGATCATGTGGTATTTTTCCTTCATTGACTGGCTTATTTCACTTAGCATAATGCTCTCCAGTTCCATCCATGCAGTTGCAAATGGTAGGAGTTCCTTCTTTTTTACAGCAGCATAGTATTCCATCATGTAGATGTACCACAGTTTTCTAATCCATTCATCTACTGATGGGCACTTAGCTATAGTGAATTGTGCTGCTATGAACATAGGGGTGCATATATCCTTTCTGACTGGTTTCTTGGGATATATTCCTAGAAGTGGGTTCACAGGGTCAAATGGGAGTTCCATTTTTAGTTTTTTGAGGAAACTCCATACTGTCTTCCATAGTGGCTGCACCAGTCTGCATTCCAACCAGCAGTGCACAAGTGTTCCTTTTTCTCCACATCCTCTCCAGCACTTGTCGTTTGTTGAATTGTTGATGATAGCCATTCTGACAGGTGTGAGATGGTACCTCATTGTTGTTTTGATTTGCATCTCTTGGATGATTAGTGACTTTGAGCATGTTTTCATATGTCTCTTGGCTTTCTGAATGTCCTCTTTTAAAAGGTGCCTATTTAGGTCCTTTGCCCATTTTTTGATTGGATTGTTTATCTTCCTTTTGTTAAGTTGTATGAGTTCCCTATAAATGTTGGAGATTAAACCCTTATCGGTGATAGCATTGGCAAATATGTTCTCCCATGTAGTGGGCTTTCTTGTTGTTTTGTTGATGGTTTCTTTTGCTGTGCAGAAACTTTTTATTTCGATGTAGTCCCATTTGTTTATTTTCTCTTTAGTTTCCAATGCCCTAGGATCTGTATCGGTGAAGAAATTGCTTCGGCATATGTCTGAGATTTTGTTGCCTTCTGATTCTTCTAGTATTTTTATGGTTTCCGTCGTATATTTAAGTCCTTTATCCATTTTGAGTTTATTTTTGTGTACGGTGTAAGTTGGTAGTCTACTTTCATTTTCTTGCATGTATGTGTCCAATTTTCCCAACACCATTTATTGAAGAGACTATCTTGACTCCATTGTATGTTCTTGCCTCCTTTGTCAAATATTAATTGAGCATATTGGTTGGGGCTGATTTCTGGGCTCTCTATTCTATTCCATTGATCTATATGTCTGTTCTTGTGCCAGTACCAGGCAGTTTTGAGAACAGTGGCTTTGTAATACAGCTTGATATCTGGTATTGAGATCCCACCGACTTTGTTCTTTCTCAGGATCACTGCAGCTATTTGGGGTCTTTTTTTTTATTCCAGATGAATTTTTAGAGTTCATTCTAGATCTGTGAAGTATGCCATTGGTATTTTAATGGGAAGTGCGTTGAATTTATAGATTGCTTTGGGTAGTATGGACGTTATAATGATGTTGATTCTACCAATCCAAGAACACGGTATGTTCTTCCATCTGTTTATGTCTTCCTCTATCTCTTTTTTCAACGTCCTGTACTTTTCTGAGTAGAGGTCTTTTACCTCTTTAGTTAAGTTTATTCTTAGGTAGCTTAATTTTTTTTTGGTGCAATGATAAATGGGATTGCTTTTTTAGTCTCTCTTTCTGTAAATTCACTATTGGTGTATAGAAATGCCTCAGATTTCTCGGGGTTAATTTTGTATCCTGCTACATTGCCAAATTCATGTATTAAGTCTAGTAGTTTTTTTATGGAGTCTCTAGGGTTTTGTATGTATAATATCTTGTGGTCTGCAAATAAGGACAGTTTTACTTTTTCTTTTCCAATTTGGATGCCTTTTATTTCTTCTTCTTGTCTAATAGCAATGGCTAATACATCCAGTACTACGTTGAACAGGAGTGGTGAGAGTGGGCATCCCTGTCCTGTTCCTGTTCTTAGGGGAAATGGTGTTAGTTTTTGTCCATTGAGTATAATGTTGGCTGTGGGGCTGTCATATATGGCTTTTATTATGTTGAGGTATGATCCTTCAATTCCCACCTTGCCGAGAGTTTTTATCAAAAATGGGTGTTGAATTTGTCAAACAATTTTTCTGCATCAATTGATATGACTATGTGGTTTTCTACTTTCAATTTGTTTATATGATGTATCAGGTTTATTGATTTGAGGATATTGTACCATCCTTGCATCCCTGGGATAAATCCTACTTGGTCTTGGTGTATGATCTTTCTGATGTACTGCTGGATCCCATTTGCTCAGATTTTGTTGAGGATTTTGGCATCTATGTTCATGAG